AGTTTTGGCACTCAAGAATCTAATTTTTTACACTTATAATGTTCATCCCGGACAGGCCCCCACTTGTTATAAATAATATGTGGTGGGCTTCTATGTTATGGGGGACTGGTACTATTAAGGGGTAAGGGTAGTTAGAAGACAGAGTATCAAATATGGGAGAGCTAAAAGGTCTGGCCCCCAAAATAAACTATCCACAGTAATAATACCTTGCTACTAGACCATATATGTCAGTCTAAGGGTTGATCAATGCACTCCCACACAGGAAGAAGGGATACTCCTATAATTCATGTACTTATTTATTAACCCCTTAACAGCCCCCCATATACACTCCCACCAATAACAATAATAATAATAACTTTACCACACTACCTCACGTTAAAAGCCTTGGTCCACATAAACAGGATACAAGGTTTACACTGAGAACAAGCTAGGGTAAAGTACTACTGGATAAGCACTGAAGCTGGATGCAGCTTAGGGTAGAGACACCACGTGGTACCCTAATACAAAACACAACACTTAGGGGTACCCAAAACACTGGCAAATACTACCCCCAGGTCTCACCAATATTTACTACCAGAGTAGGTACACTTAAAACGCCCCATACTTAACTTAATGGTACAGGAACTTCAGGTAAGGGAAATAAGTAAGAGGAGAAGGGAGGAGAGTAGGGGTGCAACCACAGAGTAGGTCTCGTCCCCACGAACGCCAGCCAGAGAAGAACACTCCTAGCGACCAGCTGGGCCTCCCGCATGTCGTGGTGCTGGAAGGAGCCTAATTAATTAATCGTGCAGCTAAGCACATTAAAAATCTTCCCCTATGCAACGTATTGTTACTTTACAAATTATTAGAAAGTATTAGTAAGCAAAGTTGGTGCCTATGTTATTATTTAATAATCAACCCCCAGCTCAGTCTTTAAATGCTCTTTGAGAAACAATAATAGTCTTACATCTGGCAGGGAAGATACAGACAATGACGCATAGGGTTGCGTTCAGCTATACTATAGTTAAGTTTAATAACTCAATTTTGACCTCTGGTTTCCACTAAAGAACCCAGGGTCGTAACAGAATGTCTGGAAAGGTTTGGAGTTCAAGTGACTTGTTGAAGAGCAATGCAATAGCAGGGGCTAAAGATCTGGAGGCTTTTTTGTAAATTAAAGTTGGTATCTCCTCGAGGGCACTAGACTTGGTTTTAAGGGAAAGGATTATCTCATTGACATCAGTGGAATTAGTAGGCTTTAGGTACAGAGACTGTGGATAGTTACCTGTAAGATAGTCATTAACATCAGTACTGGAAGATGGAATATCATTTGCAAGGGATGACCCAATGGAAGAGAAGAACCTATTGAACTCAATAGCAGAATCAGAGGCTGAAAGCTGACCAACGTTACTGGACAGGAGTGTTGGTTTGTTATTTAAAATCTTCTTTGATCCCAATATTTGTGAAATTGTGCTCCAAGTTTTTTTAATGTTGCTCTTTATTTGGGTAAATTTATCTTCATAGTATTTAGTTTTGGCTCGTCTAATTATTTTAGATAGCAATAACGAGTAATTCTTTGAGAATTCTTTGGAGACGGTTCCTAACCCATACTTCTTCTCAAGGTCGTGTTTTTTGTTAATGGATTTAAGTATTCCCTTTGTAAGCCAAGGATTGTTAAGCCTTTTGTTTGTGACTTGTTTTGTAAGCATAGGACAGTGGGTGTTATAAAGGCTAAGAGTTGTTTGTAGAAAAGATTGCACTGCTAGGTTGATGTTATATTCTTGTGCTGCACTCAGATTTTGCCAGTGGAGGCTAATAGATCAGCATTAAGTATTTTGTTCCCCCCTAATTCCATGTATGACTGGCCATCCTGTGAGGTGAGGATGTTGGATGAGCTTGTAGCTGGTTTTTGATCTACACTGTGTGATCCTTTATACAGAATAGGGAAGCAGCACATTGCTGTGTATAACTAAACATGTTAAAAAATACATTGTTTGAGAGGAGTCTTGTAGGAACTGGTAAGAGTAATTATAATATAATGTTTCCATGATTCAGTGCTTACCTCTTGTGAAAATCACGAAGAGTTGTTTAGTCAGAGTTGATTTGTTTTTTGTATCGAGGCTGGTATTTTCTAAATTGATTCCATGTATGTCTAACCATCCTGTGAGATGGGAGTATTAGATAAACTTATAGCTATGTTCCCCCTGTTTTTTTTTATCTTTATTTGTATTTGTTCTCAACACTTTTTATTCTTTATGCTCAATTAGTATTAAGTTCTAGATATTAATGTTTTTCTTGCCCGAAACGCATTGTGTAATAGTGGCTTTAGGCATTGTATGTACTAGCTCTATCTATATATCAATCCATTAATGTAACATCACTTGTATGTATGTACCTTACCTGAATAAACATATTTATTTTATTTCATTTTATTTAGTTTTTTATCTACACTGTGTAATATTCCATATAGTATAGGGTAGCAGCACATTGCTGTGTATACCTAATCTTCTTAAAAAAAAAAATCAGTAATAAAGATTTTACATTATAGTTTGTATTATTACAAATACAGTACTGTATTATCCTTATTAAATCATGTTGACCATGAATCATTAGGATCTCATGTTGATATGTAATAGTCATATTTCATTTTAACTGCTAATCCATGCTAATCATTCATTAAATTGTGCATTATGTCTCAATTTTTCACTTCCTTGGATATACTGTACAGTACAAAAAGATAGGATAAAAATAAACCAGAAATATTTCTTTCATTATATTTTTTATTTAAATAACTGCATCAATATTTTTACAGCTGACAGGATTTGTTTTACCATACAGCTGCATTATTTGTTAAAAAAAAAATTTGGTTTATTGTTACACACAATGGTGCTACATAGCTTTCCCAGCTTGGTGCCTTCTTTTAATACTTACTGATTAAAAAATAAATAATAAATAAATTTTATTCAGGAAAAGTACATACAGTTGATTTACAAACATAATGTTGGATTTATAGACAGAGCTAGTACATACAATACCTAAAGCCACTAATACTCATAGCATTTCAGGTAAGGCGTGGGGGGAAAAAAACATTTAGACTAAAACTTAATAGTAATCGAAATTAGGTATAAATTGTGTTGAAAGAAGGAATAAAAAATACAAAAAAGGGGGGTTAACATAGCATAAATCAGCAATTGCACATGTTGGTGAACAGTATTGTTTAAAAAATAGCAAGACATGGGTTGACATTTAGGGGGTAAGTTAGGTTACATGAAGTTAATTAGGCAGTACTTGGTTTAACTCTTAAATTGGTTGAGAGAGGTTCAGCCTTTGACATGATTTGGGAGGTCATTCCGCATTCTGGGTCCCTTGATTTGTTGAGCACTTCTAGTTTGGTTACACACAGCCAAATTGTGTAACAGGAAGAGGTCTTGGACACAGATTTGTTCCATGCTAAATGTAGAGGAATCAGCTGAGTATTCCTCAAATAAAATAAGTTGCCTCAGCTTATAAGGTAAATAAAATAAGCATTTCTCAAATAAGTAGCTGCCTCACCTCACTGCCTTACTGCTACATAGCCTTCCCAGCATGGTGCCTTCTTTTGATAATTACTTGTTCCACACCCAAATTGTATAACAGGAAGAGGTCTTGGACCCCTACTTCCCTCTCTCTTTTTTAATAGTCTATATAGTCATAATTTTAGCTTTAAGTATTCAATGAATAAAGTTTTTGACATTTTTACTCTTTTCCTTACCTAACATCATTTGTGCAGCATATTTTTACTTTGTCTCACCCAGATTTAAATTCAAAATAAAACCAAACTAATAAATTAGAAATGGGTATGTATAGCTAAGGTACACCCTTACTACTAGGTGAACAGGGGCATTTGATGATAGTAAATGATCCCATCAGGCAGGGCTCATCACCTTCTCTCATATTTCATGTTCACCAGTGTTTATTTACTTAATAACTACGGGTATAATATCTTGCTATTATAAAACTAATTCTACTATCATAAAAGACATATTTACTTTAAGTTTCAAGCAGAGAATGCATATATAACTAACACGAAGGACTCCTCTTCACTAGATTCAATGTTTATAATCTTTTGTTTATGTTCCAAAATCTTAAAATCGATCCCAGTGTTATGTAGTAGAGAAAAATTGAGTTATATCCAGTTTACGTAAAGCTACCAGTGGTCGAAACCACACTTAGATCCCGGAATGAACTTAGGAAGGTTTTTCCACTTAGTGTAGCTACAATACCGACGTAGCCGCCAGGAAGGCGCTAAGAAGGAAAACATTCGTAGCTAAGAAAAAAACCTTCGTAAGTACCTTCCTGAATCTGGCCCCTGGAATACGATCTCGTTGCGAAGAATCGTTGTTATAACCAAGTACCCATTTTACTGCTGAGTTAAACAGTGGCTACAGTTAAGGATTAGCGCCCAGTAAATCTTCCCGGGCCAACGAACCCATGACAAAGCGCTCGCGAAACGCCAGGCGAGTGTCTTACCACTACACCACGGAGACTGTTTTGCAATAGTTGACAAAGGCATAGTCTTTTGAACTTAAATTTTTAAAATCCAATTGGAAAACAACATCAGGGCAAATGGGGTGGGGGGGGGCATAGACAAGCCGCCGGCTTCCTGTCCTCGTCGAGGCCACTATATAGTGGTAGTGACCCTCAGGTAAAAAAAATCAGTTAAAGTCTTTACATTGCAGGTCCTTTTTACAACAGTTAGTGTTGTCTAATGTTCTTAAATTTTACATATTATTACAATTATTATTATTCTGATTGAAATTTCTTTATTATACGTATTAGTTAAACTTATTATTAGACAAACAGCCTAGCTGAATTATTTTAAGTTATGTACTATAGCTTTTTGTATTAGTGGCCGTAATTCAATATATACTCTGTAATAATTATTAGGCCACTGTATAATGTTCTTTTATATATTTTTAAATAAAAATTATCATAATTATTATTAATATTATTTTATTTGTATATTCGGTCTCCTTTACATAGTTATGGCCGAAACGTTGTTTATGTTTGGTGGTCTGATGAGCTTGTCCCGAGCCGCGGTAAATATCTGCTAACCACAAGAGAATTTAGCTATTCTTAGACTTATAATATGACTTTAATACCGACCAATAGTCAGTACACGAACGTACACACTGTGTGTGTGTGAACCGCGAGAAGAATCCTTGTGAGAGCCATTTTATGAACCAAGATCACTGTAACCGTTCAGTAATTCCGTGCTAGAGTTCGACGCCATCACATCAACAGTCATCACCGACACACTCGAAAGACAAAGCATAAGACAGCACCCTGGCTTAATTATCGTGCCCATTGGCAGTGTTGTGGCTCCAGGAGACTCCAAGTCATAAGACAACTCCTGCAGTCATCACGGGAGGCATCTCCCGTCACGCAGGGTGCAGTCGCACCTCCACAGATCTCTAGTATCAGCTCTTGATACTGGTAATGGCTCAAAAGGGCCACCACTTACGGGCTATTCATGCCCGTGCCACCTTTTGGGTGGCTTAATCTTCATCAATCTGCAGTCATCAGGAGGCGTATATCACCTTTACACACCAAGCATAAGACACCCAAGCTTATTACCCCAAGTGGCAGTGTTGTGTCTCCAAGAAACGCCCCCTCCTTCACAAGAAGACAACTGTAGTGGGACAGCCAAAGGCTTGGGACCTGTGCAGAAATATCCCTGCAAAAAAGTATATTACAATTACAATCATCGAGAGGAGATACCCTTCACACTCCAAGTATAAGACAACAGCTGGGCTTAATTGTCCTTCCCAGTGGTAGTGTTGTATCATAACGAGACTACCCACATTACAAGCAAGGCATCTTTTGCAGTAATCACAAGACGATATCTTTCACCCTAACTGCACAGATCTGCACAAACATTATTTGTCTTATAAGACAACACCCTGGCTTAATTATCCTACTCAATGGTAGTGTTTTTGTCTGCAGGAGATGACTCATGTCACAAGACAACTCCTGCTGTCATCGAGAGGAGATAACCATCACATACCAAACATAAGACACCAGCCAGGCTTAATTATCCTACCCAGTGGCAGTGTTGTTTCTTAACGAGACTACCCACATTGCGAGGCATCTCTTGCAGTAATCACAAGAAGATATCTTTCAACTAACTGCACAGATAATAAAGAAAATGAACCATCACCAGTGTCCAGTTTGTTGGAAAACATTCAGTCGTATTGGAAGTATGAAGAGGCACTTGATGGTTCATACGGGTGATAAATCTCATGAATGTCCTGAGTGTGGGAAAGCATTCAGACAACTTCAACATATGAAAACTCATATGATAGTGCATACGGGAGATAAACCTTACACATGTTCAATGTGTGGGAAATCATTCAGTCATCTTGCAAGCATGAAGAGGCACACGTCTGTGCATACAAATGACAAACCTCACGAGTGCCCAGAGTGTGGGAAAACATTTAGACAGCTAGAACATATGAAGAATCACAGGATGGTGCATACTGATCTTAGACCTCATGAGTGTCCAGTGTGTGGAAATGCATTCAGTCATCTTGCAAGTATGAAGAGGCATATGACTGTGCACACGGGTAACAAACCTCACGAGTGTCCAGAGTGTGGGAAAACATTTAGACAGCTTGAACATATGAAGAATCACAGGATGGTGCATACGGATCTTAGGCCTCACGAGTGTCCAGAGTGTGGGAAAACATTCAGTCATCTTGCAAGTATGAAGAGGCATATGATGGTACATACAAATGATAAACCTCACGAGTGTCCAGAGTGTGGGAAAACATTTAGACAACTTGAACATGTGAAAAATCACAGGATGGTGCATACCGGTCTTAGACCACACGAGTGTCCAGAGTGTGAGAAAACATTTAGTCATCTTGCAAGTATGAAAAGGCATATGACAGTGCATACGGGTATTAAACCTCACCAGTGCCCAGAGTGTAGGAAATCATTTAGACAACTTGAGCATATGAAGAAGCACAGGATGGTGCACACTGATCTTAGACCTCACGAGTGTCCAGAGTGTGGGAAATCATTCAGTCATCTTGCAAGTATGAAAAGACACATGATGGTGCATACTGATGATAAACCTCATGAATGTCCTGAGTGTGGGAAAACATTTAGACAGCTTGAACATATGAAGAATCACAGGATGGTTCATACAGGTCTTAAACCTCATCAGTGTCCAGAGTGTGGGAAAACATTCAGTCATCTTGCAAGTATGAAGAGGCACATGATTTTGCATACAGGTAATAAATCTCATGAGTGTCAAAGAGTGTGGGAAAATATTCAAACAACTTCAACATATGAAAACTCACAGGATGGTGTGTACGGGCCTTAAAATACACAGGTATCTAGAGTATGGGAAAACATTAAACATTCAGTCATCTTGGATGTATGAAAGTACGCAGGACAGTGCAAAACCGTTCGAGTGTTCTGAGTGTGGAAAAAGATTCAAACAATTTATTGGTATCTTAAGACATGTAGCCACATACAGGGGTGTAAACCTTCTGAATGTTTTGAGGGTAGGCAAAGGTTTATGTGGTGTGTAACTGGGAACTGTTACATGACAGTGCATAGCCTATAGATGATAAACCCTACCAGTGTTTGAAATGTGGAAAAAATAAGTTAATGTAAATATCATGTTTGAAAAAACACAGAAAAGGACAAAGAAATGGCAAACCACATGAATTTCTCCAAGCATAGTGCATGGTTGAAGTCGTAATAAGCAAATTATCTTAAAGCACAAGATAGTGTGTATTAAAGCTCTGTGGAAAGTTATTTGTTTTAGTATTACAGTATTGTATGAGATATATACATATCAGAACATATATTTCCAATGCAGCTTACTAAACTAACGCATTGTTCAGTCATCTTGAAAGTGGAACTTTCTGCAAATATACATTTTCCTGACTATTAAGTGAATAGTACCAAATTCTACTATCTAATTGTCCATTACATCAATATATATATATGATGGCCCACATAGTTACAAAAAGTACTATCTAAACAGGAGGATGGATTGAAATATATTATTTTTCTCTCGTTTCGAGTGAGAAATCTTCTTAACCATGAATAAATGTCATATGATAATGTCGCCAGTCTCTGGATGTTTTATTTAAGATAGGCATAGATGGTATATTAGCCTAATTCCATCATATATTATTATAGTTGCTATATATGTCACACTAGTAAGCATTGTACATTGTGCAGTCATGAAGAGAAGACCTTCACATACCATGAAGAAGAAGTAATTACATTATTTGAATATGACATATATTAACCTGGTGTGTCTGTAATTTATAAAGCCTAAGCCAGGGGAGCAAGTAGCCTGGGTTCAGGCCTAGTAGGCTATTTATGTTTTTTTTTTAAATAAATTAAAATTAATTTGACTGTAGGTTTTAGGTGTAATTTGAAGTGATTTAACTTTATATGTTCACATTGACAGCAACAGAATTATAGTTGACATAACCAAAATATAATTAAAGTATAAAAACTGTAGGCATTCCCTCTAAATCCGATACTACATATATTGCTTTGCCTTGCTTATTCACTTGTCTATATCCATATCTCTCCTACAGTATCTGTGCCTGGAGACCTTCGACTCAAAACTACTATTACACATAATTACTTAACATTAATGAAGAATTAGAACAATAACACTACAATTTTAGACAGCATTCAGCCCCCTTTAATCTTGAACAAGCTAAATATAATGGCAGTAAAACAAACACACACACACACACACACACACACACACACACACACACACACACACACACACACACACACACACACACACACACACAACACATGTGTGTTGTTATTTTTACTATTTGAGTCTAGAGAATCGAGTTATTAGCACTTGGACCTCACCTTTCTAACCAATCACTTTTCCTCTATAATGTGTACTACATCTAATTCTATTCTTAGTGCATTCCATTTGGCCTCCACCACGAGAAGGTGGTGGAGGCCAAAACCGTCAGTAATTTCAAAGTATTATACTGTTTGTCAAAGAGTACCGGGAAGACGGAACACCACAAGCATAGCTCTCATCCTGTAATTACACTTGGGTAATCACACACACACACACACACACACACACACACACACACACACACACACACACACACACACACACACACACACACACACACACACACACACCCCAACCACCACCCCACCAATTACCCCCCTCCCTAACCTACCTACCTATCTCCACAGACCTGGGGATGTGTACGTGTGTTAGAGAGAAATGTATGTAGTAGATATAGAGAAAAATACATTGGTTAAAAAGGTCTCTCTCCTCTGTCTCTGTCTCTCTCTCTCTCTCTCTCTCTCTCTCTCTCTCTCTCTCTCTCTCTCTCTCTCTCTCTCTCTCTCTCTCTCTCTCTCTCTCTCTGTCTCTCTCTCTCTCTGTCTCTCTCTCTCTCTCTCTCTCTCTCTCTCTCTCTCTCTCTCTCTCTCTCTCTCTCTCTCTCTCTCTCTCTCTCTCTCTCTCTCTCTCTCTCTCTCTCTCTCTCTCTCTCTCTCTCTCTCTCTCTCTCTCTCTCTCTCTCTCTCTCTCTCTCTCTCTCTCTCTCTCTCTCTCTCTCTCTCTCTCTCTCTCTCTCTCTCTCTCTCTCTCTCTCTCTCTCTCTCTCTCTCTCTCTCTCTCTCTCTCTCTCTCTCTCTCTCTCTCTCTCTCTCTCTCTCTCTCTCTCTCTCTCTCTCTCTCTCTCTCTCTCTCTCTCTCTCTCTCTCTCTCTCTCTCTCTCTCTCTCTCTCTCTCTCTCTCTCTCTCTCTCTCTCTCTCTCTCTCTCTCTCTCTCTCTCTCTCTCTCTCTCTCTCTCTCTCTCTCTCTCTCTCTCTCTCTCTCTCTCTCTCTCTCTCTCTCTCTCTCTCTCTCTCTCTCTCTCTCTCTCTCTCTCTCTCTCTCTCTCTCTCTCTCTCTCTCTCTCTCTCTCTCTCTCTCTCTCTCTCTCTCTCTCTCTCTCTCTCTCTCTCTCTCTCTCTCCTCTCTCTCTCTCTCTCTCTCTCTCTCTCTCTCTCTCTCTCTCTCTCTCTCTCTCTCTCTCTCTCTCTCTCTCTCTCTCTCTCTCTCTCTCTCTCTCTCTCTCTCTCTCTCTCTCTCTCTCTCTCTCTCTCTCTCTCTCTCTCTCTCTCTCTCTCTCTCTCTCTCTCTCTCTCTCTCTCTCTCTCTCTCTCTCTCTCTCTCTCTCTCTCTCTCTCTCTCTCTCTCTCTCTCTCTCTCTCTCTCTCTCTCTCTCTCTCTCTCTCTCTCTCTCTCTCTCTCTCTCTCTCTCTCTCTCTCTCTCTCTCTCTCTCTCTCTCTCTCTCTCTCTCTCTCTCTCTCTCTCTCTCTCTCTCTCTCTCTCTCTCTCTCTCTCTCTCTCTCTCTCTCTCTCTCTCTCTCTCTCTTCTCTTTTGCACCATTACTGGCACTCTCACACAGTCACTCAAGTGTACTCTATATAAAACTGAAGTGTAATACTAATTCTAACTTGAGATACTTATTGTATTCTTAACTTCTTGTATTCTTAGAGGGCTGTAACAGAACTTATGGACATCACACAAGAAATAGCTAGATATTTGATATTCCAAAAGTGTTCAAATACAGCAGAAATGCAGTGCAAATAAAGGGTTCTAAATTGTGGAATGGTTTCCCTAATGAAATTAAATGCTGTACTTGGCAAATTCATAAGAGAAACTTAAGAAATGCCTAAGTAGCATTATGTAAAAAAATTCCATTACATTTATTTATGTATTCTAATTAAGTCAGTTTGTTTTTGCTGTTATTGTGAATATTAAATGCTTTACACCAGTATCTGTACTGTCACTATACTTTAGTTACCACTTAAGCTACAGATTTTGTAATAAAGTAATACTGTATATGCCTTTCATCATTATCAATTTAAAATTATTTTATGCTAAATTTCTTTAACAATTCATATATATTAGCTTCTCACATAGTAGTAGATGTTACCCCAATAAATTTATAACGAAGTTCTCATATTATTTTAACAAATGCCCTAAAGTCTGTACATAATCAGCGGCTTCATATAATATACATGTACTGCACCTACTAAGTATAGGATCCACTGTAACATGATCCTTTGTAGATACCGTACTGTATTTAAAAAATATATACCCTACCCTGCCTGTGTTTTCAGTGGTAGTTTAATTTATTGTTGCATTATTGGACATGAATAATGTGTAGTTATTGCTTGTTATTTATTATTTTATACATTGATGGAATTCAAATTTTCCTTAGCTTTATTCTGTAAGATATGGCCTGGAAGAGGCATCATCCCTGAAATATAGATGAGTCTTTTATTCTCTTTTGGAAGGCAAGTGCAGTGGCCTGTAGGGCCATCCATACAAACATGGCTGTTGGTAATCTTACATCTTCACCATCACTGTTGACACCCTATCCCTTATATCTGGAGGAAAATACATAAGATTACAGGCAAATTGATTCCAGACATGTTGCCCTTCCTTCATCTCCGTGGTTCTGTTATGGTGAATCCAAGTGTTGATCACAAACAAACTGGGCTCACACTTTTAACTGTTAACTTTAGTGCTTATCTTCCTCTTTCTTACCTTACTTCTGGAATATCATCCCTTAAACTTTTACACTCATCTCCATATCCCTTATAATGATCCCTGCAGCATTTCTGAACTATTCAGCCTTGCTCCTCTACTCACCTAGTTGTGCTTGCGGGGGTTGAGCTTCAGCTCTTTGGGCCCCCCCTCTCAACTGTCAATTAACTGGTATTATCTGGTGATTCCTGAGCCTATTGGGCTCTTATCACATTTACGTTTGAAACTGTGTATGGAGTCTGCCTCCATCACATCACTGCTTAGTGCATTCCTTTTGTTAACTACCCTGACACTAATTAAAAATAATTATAATGTCTCATTTGAGTATTAAGCTTCTGTGTTCCCCCCGTTCGTGTTCCACCCATACCATATAGAATGTCTTTGTCCACCCTGTCAGTTCCTCTTGAGAATGTTGTACATGGTGATCATGTTTTCCCTAACTTCTGTCTTCCAGGAACATGAGGGGACAGGAACATTCTTATAGTCTTTCCTCATAACTCATACCTTTCAGCTCTGGAACTATTCATGTGGCATACCTCTGAATCTTCTTTAACTTTGTCTTGTCTTTAACAGTCCTTACTCTGGAAGTAAGGACTCCAGGTTGGAGCTGCATACACCATAATTGGTCCGATATATGTGGTATAAAAGGTTCTGAATGATTCCTTACACAAGTTTCTAAAGGCAGTTCTTATGTTGGTTAATCTAGTATATGCCGCTGTTGATATCCATTTGATGTGGGTTTCTGGGGACAGGTTCGGTGTGATATCTACCCCCAGATCTTTTTCTCTACTTGACTTTTGCAAGATTTCACCTCCTAGATGGTAACTTGTGTTCAGCCTCCAGCTCCCTTCACCTAGTTTCATTACTTTATACTTACTTGAGTTAAATTTTAGTATTCATTTTCTTGACCATTCCTCCAATTTGTCCAGGTTTTCTTGTAGTTTCTGTCTGTCTTCCTCTGTCTAGATTATTCTCATAATTTTTGCATCATCAACAGATATTGTGGAGGAATGAGTCAATACTCTCTGAAAGATTATTTACACATCAGAAACAGGATGGGTTCAAGTACAGGAATCCTGAGGAATCCTGATCATTTGTGGCATTTTTTTTAAATAAAAGAGAGTTGGAAATGAATGGTTGTCAAGAGCACTTGGTATCAATTGCCAACTGGAGAATTATTGCAAATGAAATGCAATATCATTCATTGATAACTGGAAACACTTCTATGGAAGAAATTACATGAATGCTCAGGAAGGGGTGTATTTGTCTAGGGCTGGGGTTGTTGCAGTTGCCAACTTGTTGGAACCTGTGGTGAGAGTTTTGTTTTGGTTTAAACTGTTAGTAGATAAAGTAGATAAGTAGATAGTGGTATGGGAATTGATATGGAGACAGGAGGTAATAAAAGAATGTGTTTGTTGGGAAAACAAATTGGCAAAATGAACAGGGAAAGAGAAGGGCCTCAAAATAACAATACACTTAAGGTATATTACGCGAACAGTAGGAGTCTAAGAAACAAAATAAACGACTTGAATGTTCTTGTCTGCACAGAAAAAATAGATACAGTATTATTGTCCTTACTGAAACATGGATGAATGTAGAAAATAGAGAACTATTAGCTGAATATCAACTAAGTGGATTTAAGCTATTTCATACAGATATATTAGACGAGGAGGGGGAGTAGCTATACATATTTGATAGGGAAAATTTGAAATGTAGTCTCAAAGAGGGAATCAAAACTGAGCCCCACACAGAAACTATTTGGCTATACATAAACGAAAAGCACACAATCTTATAATAGGAGTTATATACAGGCCACCAATTATAATGGCAGATTAAGGCAGCATCTGGGATGATCTCGGACGCAGGTTCGAATCCTCGTTACGGCCCTTGTGGATTTGTTCGGGCCACCAAATTTAGACAGAATGGAAGCAAAGCATCTATGGGATGAAATATCTAGAGTATCTAGGTCAAACAGTATTTGTGTCACTGATAACATTAATTTTAGTGGAATAAACTGGATTAACAGAACCGGGAAAAATGAAGCAGAAGATTTTCTAGAATTAATTGATGATTGCTTTCTTAAGGAACCAATGTGAGTAAATAATATTTTAGACTTAGTATTATCTAACGGAAACACAAATTAATGACATGAAATAGTGAGTGAGCTAGGGAACAGTGGTCACAAAGAAACCAGATTTAGCATAGAATGGAATAGATTTGTAGAAAATATTGTTAGTCCCAGATTTTTGAAAAGCTGATTTTAATGGCCAAAGAAATTTTTGGGGTGAAATAGGTTGGAAAGTCCTGGGCATGGGGAGTGGGCCAGTCTTGGAGCTAGACATGAACCCAGCGATGGGTGATGTAAAAAGGGATTTCGATGTGGATTCAAAATATAACTTATTTAAAAATATTTTTAGCAAAGCACAGGAACGTAGTATACCATACAAATTGAATAGATGGAATAATAATGACCAGAAATGGATAACAATGGATATGAAGAACCTTATATGTAGAAAGAGAGCTTGGTACAAAAGGATTAGCAATTAATAAGACTTGTTTAGAAGAAGAATTCATCCAACTGGTTAGAAATGTTAAAAAAAAGAGATAAGGGGGGCAAAAAGAAACTATGAAGTTCACAAAGAAGGGCAAGCAAAGAAATCTTAATTTTTTTTTCAGTTATATCGAAGGAAGATTAGAGAAAGGATAGGTCCATTAAAAACTGAGACAGGTCAGGTAACCGATAATGATGAAGATATGTGTAGTATTTTTAATAAATATTTTATCTCTGTATTTACT